CAGTCACTTCTCGCCCGCTGGAAAGGCCAGTGCCTCAATCGCAGGTTGCGCAAGAAAATCTCCGACCTAAACAAGACCATCGAGGAGCACTGCCGCGTCCTCTTTAAGCAGCAGTGGGACGAGGTGTGCAACTCGGTAGATGTCCAGATGCGTAATGGCGAGACATAGAACCTGCTCAAGCACCTGCTTAGCGAGACTAACACCAAAACTAACCAGCCGAGCGTACTAGCGCGAGCCATGCACGAAGCCAAGCAGTCCTCTTCAGAAGAGGAGGTTTTGAAGCAGCTGATGCAAAAGTACCTCCCTATCGACTCGAACCCCGCAACAACGTACCCCGAGTACTCGAGACCGGCCAACACTGAACGGGACGCTGAAATATGCCACGAAGAGGTTTGGCAGGTGCTCCACGGGCTCAATGGAAGGTCTGCCGCGGGCCCCGACGGCATAACTAATAAGACCCTGCGCAACCTGGACGACAAGCCAATCGACTACCTCACCGAAGTCGACTACCTCACGAGGCATGGAAGAGCGGCGAGGTCCCTGACCCGAGGAAGGTCGCACGCACCGGGCTCATTCCCAAGCCGGGGAGGCCACCGAACTTGGACAACGTGCGCCCCATTTCGCTCACATCCTGCGTGGGAAAGGTAGCCGAGCATGTGGTCCTCCATAGGTTGACTCAGTACCTGGAAGACAATGGGCTCTACCAACACACCATGATTGGTTTTCGGGCCAAGCTTCTCCACGCAAGACGCTATGAAGCTGCTCAAGCGCCAAGTCATTGACTGGAACACTCGAGACATGCAGGCCATTCTCGGCCTCAACTTAGAGAAAGCCTTCAACAATGTTACTCACTCTTTCGTGTTGCGGTCGATTGCTGAGCTCGGCCTTGGAGTCAGATTCTACGAATATGTCAAATCGTTCTTGACGCGTAGGAGAGTCACCCTCAGTTTGGGAAACCCATCTGAAGAAATCCAGCTGGGCTTGCGCGGCAGGCCACAAGGGTCAGTGATATCGCCCACCCTGTTCAACCTTGTCATGGTCGGTTTGTCCAAGAGGCTCTCATGTATCGAAGGCATTAACCACACAATTTACGCGAAAGATATTACTATTTGGTGCACACGTGGCAGCGACGGGCAAGTCGAGCGTTCCCTGCTGGAGGCCATAGACACCACGAAAGATTACCTCCGTTCCACAGGCCTGAGGTGTTCTCCAAACAAGTCCGAGCTTCTCCTCTACCAACCCACTAGGCAAGGGCCGAAGCCTAAAAACTGGCAGCCGATCTCCAAGAGTGATATCAAGCTCTACACCGGAGATGGCAGCGCAATACCCAGAGTCGACTTCATTCGAGTCCTCGGCATGACCATCGAGTCCAATGGTTCCAATGACAAGACTATACTCAAGCTCGCCGCCAAGACGGATAACGCGGTTCGGCTGGTTCAGCGGGTGGCCAACCGCTACCAAGGCCTCAAGGAAGACAACCTAATCTGCCTGGTCAATGCCTTTGTGCTCTGCCACTTTTCCTATGTCACGGCCATGCACAACCGGCAGCGTACTGAGCGTGACAAGATCAACGTCTTGCTCAGAAAGATTACCAAGCGGGCCCTCGGTATCCTGATCAGGACGCGCACCAAGCGCCTGCTGCAGCTCGGAGTGCACAATACGTTGGAGGATGCCACGAACTGTTCGCCACCACTAAACAAGCGCTGCCAGTCTGCGCTGCGCGCGCCTTCTATCTTATCTCCCTCTTCCCCTTCTCTTACCTTTCGTTCTTATAAAAACCCAAGCCGAACAATAAACGCTCGCTTTTTGCCCTGGCCACTCTGTTCGTGCATTTCGGGGCACGGCTCAGCCGCGGGGGCCGGTTATAACAGTGGCGACGAGGATTTCAACAAAGAATGAGACCCAGCTGCTTCCTGAAGGCAGGCAAGCAGTCACCACATCGACAGCCATGAGTCACCGCCTCCCGGAATTCAACGACGACACAGATAAGTGGCAAGCGTACCTCGTGAAGGTTGAGGCTTATTTTGAAGCAAACGAAGTCACTGATGATGCCAGGAAAAGAGCCCTGTTGGTAGCCGCACTTGGGTCGCGAAAGATTGATGTACTATGCGGTAGAGTGGCACCGCAGAAGCCAAGCGCACTCGGCTACGATGCGGTAGTGAAAGTTCTAAGCGAGTATTATGACCCACGACCAAACGAAATTTCAGAAAGCTTCAAGTTTTTCCACCGAAACCAGCAGGAAGGAGAGTCTGTTCACGCATTCATTGTGGAAATACGGCGCCTAGCGCATAACTGCAACTTCTCGTCCATGCTGGATAGGATGTTAAGAGACCGTATCCTGTGCGGGGTACGTTCAAGAAATTTGCAAAAGCAGCTGCTCGCGAAACCTGAGTTGACATTACAAGAAGCAGAGGCACTTGCGTTGGCGGCAGAAAGGGCAGAGTTAAATGCGGAGAACATAAATCGAGAAACGCCCCCGGTAACAGTGTCGGCAATGAAAGAGCAACGCTGGGTGCCGCGAGGCCAGAAGTAAAACGAAGACGGAAAGTCATGCGAGTGCTGCGGAAAGCGTAATCATAAGCGCGCGACCTGTTCAATGCGTGGGAGGCAATGTTACAAATGTGGAAAACAAGGGCACTTGGCACGCATGTGTCAAAGGATCGACAACGCGTTGAATGTAACAGCCCAAGCCACCGACAGTGATAGCAGCGCGTCGCAACTTTGGTCCGTAACATCGAAGAATTCATGGGTGCCACCGATTCAGGAAACGTTCTCATGGAACGGCGTAAAGCTGAAGATGGACGTGGATACCGGCTCGCCCGTATGCGTCATTCCTAGAGCAACCTACAAAGCCCACCGTCATCAATGGCCGAAGTTGCAGGAGCCGAAGATAAAGCTGGCGTGCTATTTGGGGAAGCTACCCGTACTCGGAGTACTGTCAATGCGTGTATGCCACAAATCGGCGGAGGTTGATTGCAACCTAATCGTCTTGGACTGCGAAGGTCCTCTCCTGTGCGGTCGTGATTTGCTGCAGAAACTACAAGAGCAGGGCGCAGCAGTACTCCACGTAGCTGCGCCACCACTTGGGGCGAGCCCGGAGTCTCCGCCCGCACCTGCTGTGTTGGACCGCTACTCCGACCTGTGCACGGAGGGCGTAGGACTCTTGAAAGGCCCACCGGTGCGCCTTCACATCAAGCCTGGAGTGACGCCAAAGTTCTTCAAGGCAAGAAAGGTACCCTACGCTCTGTTGGATAAAGTTTCAGAGGCATTAGATCAACTCGTGGCAGCTGGCATTATATCACCAGTGACGCACTCGGAATGGGCTACGCCCATTGTTCCAGTCTTAAAGAAAGACGGCACAGTTCGCATTTGCGGTGACTTCAAGGTTACTTTGAACTTAGTATGCGAGCTGGAACAATACCCGCTGCCTCTTATCGAGGATATTTTTGCGGAATTGGGGGGGGGGGGGGAGAGCGGTTCAGCATTTTGGATTTGCGCGACGCCTACAACCAGATCCCGCTAGATGAAGAGTCTCGCAAATTGGCCGTGATAAACACCCACAAGGGCCTCTTTTACTTCAACCGCCTCCCGTTTGGGATTGCTTCGGCACCGGCGATATTTCAAAGGCGGATTGAATCAATCCTACAGGGCTTGCCTGGGGTGCAAGCGTACCTAGATGACGTGTTGATAGCGGAAGAGGGTGACAGCGAAAACCGCAATCTGATGGCTGTGCTCGAGCGCTTCCGTGAACATGGCATTAAGCTTCGTGCTGATAAGTGCCGCGTTAGCGAGCGCTCTGTTACATATCTAGCTCACCGTATTGACGCGAACAGACTGCATCCCATGGAAAAGAACGTGGATGCTATCAGGCTAGCCCCCTCTCCACAGAACGTCTGCGAGCTACGCTCATTTCTGGGCATGGTAACCTTTTATAACAAGTTTATGCCCGACTTGTCTACCATTCTAGCGCCGTTGTACAAACTGCTGAAAAAGGGCGCTAAGTGGACGTGGAGCACCAACGAAAAGAAAGCCTTTGTCCAGGTGAAAAATGCGTTGTGCGCGGCACCCATACTCACTCATTTTGATCCGAACGTGAGCTCTACTTAGAGTGTGATGCGTCCCCATACGGAGTTGGTGCTGCACTTTTTCATCACACCGAAGGCGAGAAGCGACCCGTAGGCTTTCGATCGAGAACGCTGACAACTGCCGAAAGAAAGTACTCTCAGATCGAGCGCGAGGCGTTAGCCTTGATATTTGGTGTTACTAAGTTTAGGGACTACCTGTTGGGCCGAGAGTTCACTCTGGTTACGGATCACCAGCCATTGCTGGGCCTGTTAAGGCACGACCGTCAGACCCCCGTCATGGCGGCAGCCAGAATACAAAGATGGGCGCTACTACTTGGTGCACACAAGTATAAACTGCAGTACAAGCCGGGAAAATTTATGCTCAACGCGGATGCATTGAGCCGGGTACCCCGATCTCTTGAACAGGAGCTGCAGGACGACGAGGATGCGGCCGAGTACGTCCTCGTCGTGGACCAGTGGGACGAGCCGGCGGTGCCCATGAAAGAGCTTCAAGCCCTCACGCAGTCAGACGGCGTACTGTCAAGTGTGTGCAGATACGTCGTCCAAGGTTGGCCACAACGCACTGTGGAGGAAGGCACAGAGATGCGGGAGTATCACAAAAGGCGGAACGAGCTGTCCGTGCAGCATAACTTGCTTCACTGAGGTCATCGTGTTGTGGTTCCGGCGGAAGCCAGGAAGAAGCTACTGAAGTTATTGCATGGAGCTCATCAAGGAGTTTCTGCAATGAAGGCAGTTGCACGGTCAAAATTTTGGTGGCCTGGCTTGGACCACGATATTGAGCGCTTAGCCGCTGTGTGTTAGCACTGCGTACAGGCGTTGCCCATGCCACCCGCGCAAGCACCCATTCGCTAGCCAGAGACGCAGGAAAGATGGTCGCGATTGCATGTCGACTTCGCGGGTCCGATCCAAAACAAGATGCTTCTTGTCGTCGTGGACTCTCACAGTAAATGGATTGAGGCCATTCCCCTGGCTCACGCGACCTCGCGCAACACAGTCGATGCCCTGCGAACGCTGTTCAGTAGATTCGGTCTGCCACACACAGTAGTGTCTGATAATGGCACGCCATTCACCGGATGGGAGTTCAAGGAGTTCTTGCAACAGAACGGGGTAGTTCACGTGCGGGCATCCCCGTACCATCCACAGAGTAATGGACTCGCCGAACGTGCGGTGCGAACCATCAAAGACAGACTAAAGAAGTGTGGGGACGCAGACTTGTCAAGGGCGCTGGCTAGAACATTGTGCCGCTATAGAAACACGCCGCTTCCGTCCGGGCGCTCACCATCAGAAATGTTGTTGGGTTACCAGCTCCGCACCCGATTAGACATGTGTTTTCCTCCCAGGAGCCGAGCAACAGGGGATGTCCACTCTGCTGACAGCGCCGAGTGGAACTTCGCACCGGGAGATCCTGTGTACCTTCGCAATTACGGCCGTGGTGACAAGTGGACACCTGGGAAGGTCCGGTCAACCTCTGGTGCACGCATCGTGTCTGTCCACACGGAGAACGGGCTTGTTCACCGGCACATGGACCAGCTCAGGCGGAGAAGCATCGAAGAACCGTCGAGTCCAGAGGCTCTCACTAGTACCCAGATAAGCCCGGACCCTCCAGTACAAGACTGCAAAGCTCCAACGGCTACTGGCCCCGGTCTTCCGGGCCACCCGCCCCCAGAGCTAAGACGTTCCACACGTATCAAGAAGCCAGTGGAGCGTTATGGATTCTAAGGAAGAAGGAATGCCACGAACTGTTCGCCACCGCTAAACAAGCGCTGCCAGTCTACGCTGCGCGCGCCTTCTATCTTATCTCCCTCTTCCCCTTCCCTTACCTTTCGTTCTTATAAAAACCCAAGCCGGACAATAAACGCTCGCTTTTTGCCCTGGCCACTCTGTTCGTGCATTTCGGGGCGCGGCTCAGCCGCGAGGGCCGGTTATAACAGAGGAGATTGCCGAAAAGCAGGAGCGGGCCCAGCTCGCGCACCTTTCGAGCTCCCAGACTGGCAGACATATACTCCGAGAGCTCGGTCACTCTTCGGCTGAAGTGGGCGAGAAGATGAGACAGGTGCCCCGTGAGTTTCGCGTCCTCATCACCGTGGCACCGATACCGAGGAATGTCCATCCCGAGCACAATCGTGGTAGGCGACGGGCTAGAGCTGCCACTCTTCTCAAGCAGATTCACAGTGAGGAGCACAGCGCCAGCTTTGTCGACGCGGCAGCGTACTGTGGGAGCCGTGCCTTCTTCGCAGTCGTTGTCGACTCCAAACTGCAAATCACCAGCTGCACATCGGTTCACACTGACGATCCAACGATTGGCGAACAAGTGGCCATCGCCCTGGCCATCCCGGAAGGTGAAAGGGAAGTCATCTATAGTGACTCTAGGTCAGCTATTCGTGCTTTTTAGCGCGGTGAAATCTCCAAGGAAGCCCTGCGCGTGCTCCAGAGTGGTGGCCGTGACGGTATCAAGATCAAGCACCACGTACTGATCTGGTTTCCTCCACATGTTGGACAGGTCCAAGGCGCTCCCGCCAATCTCAACAAGTCTGTCCACGAGGCCGCGCGCGCGCTAACCGACCACGCCGGTTCCGGGCAACGATTCGGGGCCAACGGCGTTGCGGAAAACAGGGACGCGCCTGCCACGTAAAACGAAATAACAAAACATTTTTACTTCGCACGAAGACTATATCCACTTCCTCATCCAAATCTTAATAGGCCACAGGCCCTTATGCTCAGACTACTGCAGACCGACACGTACCCTAACCTGAGATTCCTTCATGCTATTTATCCTGACGTGTTCCCCAATGACGCTTGCCCCGCATGTGGGAATGTATCCACGCTGGCGCACATGCTCTGGGAGTGCAAGGCAATGTACACTAACCACAACACTACATTGGTCAGGTGGGAGGCGGCCCTACGCAGCTCCCACCTGGCCGACCAACTTTGGGCCGTCCAGCAAGCCCGTGGAGCGGCTGATAGGTTTGGCCTAACGGTCCCGACGTGGGAGTCACCCGCTGCTCACTGACGCGCGCCTTGCAGGACCACAATAAAGGTTCGCAACCTATTAAAGAAAATGAAAAATTGAGTGAGCAATGAATGAGAAATTGAAAATGAGAAATTGAGCTACATCACGCTCATAAAAATTTTCCACCGTGCAGCGTTCAATTGACTAAGAAGGAGAAATTGACTTCAGTGGTGTATCTGTTTAGCCGCCTACGTCTGGTCGCTTTCATGATCTTACCCTCAGCTTTGGGTAAGAACGTTTGACAAATACGATTGCCCGTCAGGTCATGAATAATGCTGCAATCTCGTTGCGTATGTTGTCAAACCCTTTCTTCCAGATGAGTGGCACACATCTGGCAGGTTTGCGGTTATGTGCTCCAGGTGATTGAGAGTTTCTTTACTCAAGAATGGCAAGAAATAATATTGGTAATTTTAACACGACAACATCCAGGAAAAAGTCAGTGTTGGCCTTATGAATGTAATGAATATATATCAGGGCCCCAGCAGGAATGAAAACCAAACATTCTGCGTAGCAATCAAGTATTTTACCACATAGCCACACCAGGTCTCAACACTGCTGTGGAAATAGACACCACTCAGGCACAATGTCAATTGCATGCTAACTATAGAATTTTATAAAAATTACAGATACACTTCTATGATGCAGCCGTCACGACCAGCTCACGTCACTTGTAGATAAGCGCCATATACTTTGCTAGATTTATGTAGCAGTGTTCGGGGCTACCATCCTTGACAACACAAGCGCTACATATCAACTTACTACGTCTGATGTTGCTAGCACTCATGTTGATGCTGGCATCATTGTGCAACTGGTTATATAAAACATATGTGACTGTTGAACATACATCTGTGTGTACAACATTGGTCAGTTTTGTCAAATACACTACAGTCATCTTCCTTCAGTGATACGCATAAGTCTCAAATGGTAAATTATGTTATTGTACAACATTTTTATACTTTAAAGGAAGTCACCACTTTTTTAGGGCTTTTTTTTTTGCGGTTCTCCTACATGGATGAAGTTTTTTCCCCCTAGAAAATCGCTAACTTTTCAATTACAGAAAGAAAACAGGTGGCTATTTGTTTTGTTTTTTTTTAAATCTTCAAAAGGGGTTGATACTAGCTTGTTATTTGCTTACAAGGGTGCCATTTCACGCCGGAAAATGAGGCACGCGTGGGTAGGAAAACCTACGGGGTGCAAACCACACGTATTACATACCCAGGTGTCGAACACTTGTTTATGTACAACTATCGATCGTGCAGCTGTATGGGGCTTGAGTAGTGCCACACAGACTCTTTCAATTTGATTCGTGTTTCTCAACCATGAATGACTCACTTCTGCATTTGTGCACGATCGTGAAAATTACATAGGGTAACACTTGCATGGCTTAACCGACTGAGAAAATCAGCCTCGCTGACCGATAAAACAGCAGTAATGCCACTCATTAATTGATACATTCAATGAGCAAGCGGCAAAAGAGTCAAAGCAAGTTGCCGATCAAGCGCAGTGAGAAACGTACTTTCATGCTCAGTAAAGTTTGTACAACGAACGCTGCCACCTCACACACACAAAAAAAAAATCAAATATTAGCAATCACAAAAATAACACTGAAGCACGCAGTGACAGTGCAAGTAAGTGCAAGAGACTATAGTGCAAGTTCAAGCGCTGCAAACACCATCCGCGTTCGTCAAGCACATGGGCAACGATAGCACAATCGCAGTGCTCATGTCCACCACAAATACACCCCGATCAGCACAGGTCCAGCACAACACAAATGTGTACAGCTCGCGATCGCGTACAGCTCATCCCTGACACGCACGAATGCAGACACGTCACACGCTGAGAGAACCTGGGGTTGCCTGACCCCCTATTACCCAAAAGCCACAGCACACCACACGCAAGAAAAATATGTGCAGAGAACCAGATTTAACGCTGCAGAGAACCTCAGGTTGCCTGACCACTGTTCTCTAAAAGCCATAGCTTTGTACGGATCCAAGCCAAGTTGAGTGAAAATAGGTTGCGCTATTTTCACCGGGTCTAATCTAATCCGGTTGAGCGTATGCATTCCATTCTGAAACGGATACTGAGAGCTCTTTGCTACGAGCACTAATGCGACTGGGCAGCCTGTATTCCTCCTGCTATGTTCGCTACGAGCACTAATGCGACTGGGCAGCCTGTATTCCTCCTGCTATGTTCGCTGATCAGCTACTCATGAAAGCACTGGTTTTAGCCCTGCAGAGCTGGTGTATGGCAGGAACTTGAGAACACCATTGCGAACGCTACGCGAGTCCTGGGAGGGATTCGATAAGGACCCTAATGTAGTTGCATATGTTCTAGATTTCCTTCAGAGGCTTGGAAAAATGAAAAATCTTGTGGAAAGCCTCATGAAGGCCATAACTCAAGACCAAACTTACCCGATACCAAACCTAGAGGAGAGGGTAGAAACTGTGTCACAGTCTAGCTATATTTCCACGTTAGACCGCGTGTGAGGGTATTGGCAAGTCCTCCTTACTGTGCTAGTCGCTATGTCACATTCGTTTCTCCATTCGAAACGTATCGTCCACTTAAGCTGAGGTTTGGATTGAAAAATGTGCCCTTTTTTTTTTTTCAGGCTTAATGGACCACGTTCTTAATGGCCTCTGTGAGCTCACTCTGCCGTATCTTGACGATCTCGCCATCTTCTCAAATAACTGGGAAAAACATGTGAAGCATTTACGCGTTGGGCTGAACAGGTCGAAAGAAGCTGGTCTTACCGTAAAACCTACTAAGTGTCACCTAGGGTAAAGCGAGTTGTCTTACCTGGGACACGTTGTGGGGCGTGGCTGGCGTAGACCTTCAGAAATGAAGGTAGCTGCCGTTGTGAACTATTCACGACCAACCACAAAATCTGAGATAAGTACATTCTTGGGCCTAGCTGGATACTATCAGCATTATGTGCAAAACTACTCTAGCATTCCCAGCCCTCTAACTGACGCACTTCGAAAGTCCGAGCCGGTTAAAGTAGTATGAACCTCAGAAAAGGAGAATGCGTTTTGCAAGCTGAAACAGGCCCTAAGCAAAAAACCCATTCTAATGGCACCCGATTTATCTAAGAGATTTGTCATTCAATGCGACGCGAGTGATCGCGGCATGGGAGCTATATTGTGTCAGGAAGACAGTGCTGGTAACGAAAGGTCAGTTTTGTATTTAAGTCGAAAACTCAGCTTCAGGGAAGAGGCATACAGTACCTCTGAAAAGGAGTGCTCTTGCCTCGTGTGGGCCGTTCAAAAGCTAGCCTGCTATGTCTCCGGTTCGAGGTTTGTGGTCGAAACGGACCACTGTCCTCTAACCTGGTTAAATAACATGTCACCCAAAAGTGGCCGGTTACTGAGGTGGAGCATGATACTCTAACAGCACAACTTTGACGTTCGCTACAAAAAAGGAAAGCTAAACGCTAATGCAGACGCATTAAGCCGTGCATTTTAGTTATTACCTTCTCTACCTGGAGGTGAACCTGGAGGGACCTGGCGAACGAGCGTGCCCGATATCCGAGCCACGTGGAAGCAGCTCGTCTTTCCGGCGCATTGTCTGGCGGCGGGGATGCTGTTGCGCCTGGGAGTCCACACGGAACGTCAGTGCCTCGGCAAAGGCGATCTGTGTCAAGGCCAGCGATGGAGCCCGCCTGACGCAGCCCAGTGGCGAGTCCCCATTAGAGGATTCTGACATCACGGCC